TTTTTTTCCATAAAAAGTTAATCCAAGAACCCATGGCCTCCCAGCCGGCCCCCGCCAACAAGCCGATCGACGACTACAAGATCAAGGACACGAAGCCCCAGCTTGGCGAGCGGTGGCCCCACGGTGGGTCCCGCGGTGGCGGCTGGCTTTCCAGCGACCGTCCCGCCGCCAGCACTTACGACCTTGTCGAGCAGATGCACTACCTCTACGTTCGGGTCGTCAAGGCCCGCGACCTTCCCCCGAACCCTGTTACCTCCAGCTGCGACCCATACGTCGAGGTGAAGCTCGGCAACTACAAGGGCCGTACCCAACGCTTCGAAAAGAAGACCACTCCCGAGTGGAACCAAGTCTTCGCCTTCTCCAAGGAAAAGATTCAATCCTCTGTTCTCGAGGTGTTTGTGCGCGACAGGGAGATGGTCGGTCGGGACGATTACATGGGTCGTGTCGTGTTCGATTTACACGAGGTTCCCATGCGGGTCCCGCCCGACAGCCCGTTGGCTCCGCTGTGGTACCGTTTGGAGAATCACCATGGGGCCACGAAGCTCAGGGGCGAGGTCATGCTGGCCGTGTGGATGGGGACTCAAGCCGACGAGGCCTTTCCCGAGGCGTGGCATTCAGATGCTGCATCGGTTCACGGGGAAGGGGTTTACAGCGTGAGGTCGAAGGTGTACGTTTCACCTAAACTGTGGTACCTTCGGGTGAATGTTATCGAGGCACAGGACGTGGAGTCGGAGGACCGGTCCCAGCCGCCTCAGGTGTTCGTCAAGGCTCAAGTTGGGCAACAGGTGCTGAAAACGAAGGTCTGCCCGACCCGGACGGCGAACCCTTTTTGGAACGAGGATCTTGTTTTTGTGGCGGCCGAGCCTTTCGAGGAGCACCTCGTGCTGACCGTGGAGAATAAGATGAGCGGAAGGGATGAGCTGGCGGGGAGGCTGGTTTTGCCGTTGAGTGTTTTCGAGCGGCGGTTGGATCACCGGGCTGTGGATCCGCGGTGGTTTAATTTGGAGAGGTTCGGATTTGGGGTGTTGGAAGGGGAGAAGAGGAAGGAGATGAAGTTCTCGACACGGATACATTTACGGGCCTGTCTCGAGGGTGGGTATCATGTTTTGGACGAGTCGACTTATTATATTAGCGACCAAAGGCCGACTGCTCGGCAGCTGTGGAAGCAGCCGATCGGGATTTTCGAAATTGGGATTTTGAGTGCCCAGGGTTTGGTTACGATGAAGAAGAACGACGGGCGAGGGTCTACCGATGCTTACTGCGTGGCGAAATACGGGCAGAAATGGGTGAGGACGAGGACGATAGTCGGGAGCCTGAACCCGAGGTGGAACGAGCAGTACACGTGGGAGGTTTATGACCCGTGCACGGTTGTCACGATGGGCGTTTTCGACAATTGCCACCTGGGAAACGGGAACTCCTCCGATAAGGACTCGAGGATCGGGAAAGTGAGGATCAGGCTCTCGACTCTGGAGACGGATAGAATCTACACGCACTCGTACCCACTTCTCGTGCTGCAGCCGAACGGGCTGAAAAAGACCGGCGAGCTCCAGGTCGCGTTTCGTTTCACGTGCCTCTCGTTGGCCCACATGGTTTATATGTACAGCCGTCCGTTGCTGCCGAAAATGCACTACGTGCACCCGTTCACGGTTAGCCAGCTGGATAGTTTGCGTTACCAGGCGATGAACATTGTGGCGTCGAGATTGGGCCGGGCCGAGCCCCCGCTGAGGAGAGAGGTAGTTGAGTATATGCTCGATGTGGACTCGCACATGTGGAGCATGAGGCGAAGCAAGGCGAACTTTTTTCGTGTCGTGTCGCTGTTTTCGGGCTTGATCTCTGCGAGCAAATGGGTTTCGGAGGTTTGCGCGTGGAAAAACCCGATCACAACATTACTCGTCCACGTCCTCTTCTCCATCCTCGTCTGCTACCCGGAGATGATACTCCCAACAGTTTTCCTCTACATGTTTTTATACGGGCTTTGGAATTTCAGGGCCCGGCCGAGGCACCCGCCCCACATGGACCCGAAGCTGTCGTGGGCCGAGGCGGCCCACACGGACGAGCTGGACGAGGAGTTCGACACGTTCCCGACTTCCAAAGCTCAGGATGTGGTTCGGATGAGGTATGACCGGCTGAGGAGCGTGGCCGGGAGGATACAGACGGTGGTGGGGGATGTGGCGACGCAGGGGGAGAGGTTACACGGGCTGCTGAGCTGGCGGGACCCACGGGCGACGAGCATATTTGTCGTGCTGTGCATGTGTGCGGCCGTGGCGCTTTACGTGACGCCGTTCAAGATTGTGGTTTTCTTGGCGGGTTTGTATTGGCTGCGTCACCCGAGGTTCAGGAGCAAGATGCCGTCCGCACCGAATAATTTCTTCCGGAGGCTGCCGGCTCGTGCTGATAGCATGTTGTAAAAGTGGGAGTTTTTTGTTCTTTTTTTTTTTGTTATTTTCTTATTGTTCAATTTCATCCTGAGTTCATAGCTTGTGATAAAAACTGAAAATGGCCCTATATTAGAAACACATTATGTGCAGTGCACCTCTCCTTAAGCTTGTTACTATGTTCATGTCTTTTTTTAAAGCAGATCTCTATTAAGAAGGAATGAAACACAAGTCATATTATGAGAGCAAAGTTTTAAGAAAGAAGGAACAAAATTGGCAGGGGACTTGAAATTATTGTCCGGAAAGTGCAAGGAAAGCTGACCCAGTTTGTGTGGTGCTACTTTTTCGACTTACAGCTGTAACGCACTAAAGTTTCACAAATTTCACCATTTCCAACTTAATATCATTTGCTTGTTATGGTTATACATAAATTAAAAACTGATGATGCTCGAAGCTTGTAGAAATTTCGATACTGTCATGGATAGAACTGTAAACGAACCGAGCCAAATCGTGTTTGCGTTTCTAATACTCAAGTCAGGCACGAGCTTTTAGCAAGCCGGCCAAATCTTTCATTAGTAATCCATATTAACGAGACAAACACGACCTGAACTAAACTGAACGGTTCAATGAAAAAAACTCGTATTTTCGAGACAAACGAAGCAAAGGTCACGAGCAGCAGCTCATATACGCTACTGGTTATACAACTTTTTGTAATGCTCAGTGGGTCTTTTTTCTAATTGCCCCAAACCTGTAGGGTAGTTTGTCTAATCAAGTAAAATGTGTCTTGTGGAAGCCAAAACATGCGTCAATAAAAGCTAACAAAATTCTATTTTTGGTGCCTTGATTCCCAGGGAGTGTCATTTGTGCCCCAAATTTTTTTGACTTTTTATGTATTTGAGTACAATTTCTTCAAGTCTCAACAACCAAACATCCGTTTGCGATGTCAATACCAAAAGAATCAAATCACATGGCACATAGAGAGAGAAAAAAAAAAAGAGCATATGTTCTTGTCACACAACCTAAAAAGCTAACAAAAGTAATCTCACTTCACATTCATACATGGAGAAAAAAGAAAAAACCAAAGCAAGAATGGCAGCACAAAGATAAACTGGTCCATGAACATAATAAAATTGAATCCAATAACAATCCCTACAAAAGTGCCCACCACATATCACCATAATAAACAGAAAACACCTAACAAACACCCTAAAGAAAGCATAAAAAACATGCATAGTTGATAATTGATAGTTCCCATAAAGAAAAAAACATCTTACAATAAAATCGCATTCCACAAACCTGTTCTCCGAACCAACACCCGACGAGAAGGGACGAAAAAAAAAACGATTTTGAACAATCACAACATGCAGTCGGTCCTTGCGGGAAGCCTCCGGAAGAAATTGAGCGGCACAGATGGCAACTTGTACCTGAACCTCGGGTGCCTCAGCACGTAGAAACCCGTCAAAAGCGCCACCACCTGGAAAGGCGTAACGTAGAGCACAATAGCTGCAATCAGACAGAATATCACAAAAAGAGCAGTTGCACGAGGGTCCCTCCAGCTCAGCAGCGACTGCAGCCTCTCCCCTTGGGTCGCCAGGTCACCCACCACTGTCTGAATCCGACCTGCTATACTCCTCAGCCGATCGTACCTCATCCTCACTATATCCGCCTGACGAGAAGTTGGGAAAGTGTCGAACTCCTCGTCCAGCTCGTCCGGGTGGGCATTATCCGCGCATGAGAGACGGGTATCCATGTGAGGCGGGTGCCTCGGCCGCCACCTGTAGTACCAAACGCCGATCAAGAAGAGGTAAAGGAAAACGGTCGGTAAGATCAGCTCCGGGTACATGACGAGTATCAAGAAGAGAATGTGGATTAAGACGGTCGTAATCGGGTTCTTCCAGTTGCAAATCTGGTCGAACCACTTCCCGACAGCAATCAACCCGCCTAAAACACCCATGATGCGGAAAAAATTCGCCTTGCTCCGCCTCATGCTCCACATGTGGGACCCTACGTCGAGCATGTACTCGACAACTTCTTTTCTAAGGGGTGGCTCAGCTCGGCTCAGACGGATCGAGACAATCTGGGTCGCCTGGTGCCTGAGGCTGTCGAGCTGGCTCACGGTCAGTGGATGTATGTAGTGCATCTTCGGGAGCAATGGTTGAGAGTACATGTGCATCATGTTCACTAAGGATGAGCAGGTGAATCTCACTGCTAGGTGGATCTCACCCATTTTCTTCACGCCAGACGGGTGTAAAACAAGGAGCGGGTACGAGTGGGTGTACACGCGGTCGGTTTCGAGAGTCGAGAGTCGAATCCGGACTTTCCCAATCCTCGAGTCCCGTCCCGACTTGTCCCCGCCGCCTTGCAAGTGACAGTTGTCGAAAACGCCGATCGTGACAACAGTGCACGGGTCAAAAACCTCCCACGTGTACTGCTCGTTCCATTTGGGCGAGAAGCTGTCAATAATGGTCCTCGTCCGGACCCACTTCTGCCCGTACTTGGCGACACAGTAGGCATCGGTCGTAGCCCGCCCATCCTTCGTTTTCATGGGGGAGAGCCCCTGAGCGTTCAGAATACCCAACTCCAAAACGCCGATGCTCGATTTCCAGAGCTGTTTGGCTGTGGGGCGGAGATCGCTGCTGTAATGGGTTGACTCGTCCAGCACGTGGTACCCACCTTCGAGGCATATTCTCATGTGGATCTTGCTCGCGAACTTGATTTCCTTCTTCTTCTCGCCCTCGACCATGACGTGCTTCTCGAGATTGTACCACCTTGTGTTGATGGGCTTGTGGTCGAGCCTCCTGTCAACGTACTGCAAAGGAATGGCACACCTCCCGAGGACCTCGTCTTTGTTAGGGGCCACACGGTCCTCCACGCTCAGAATCAACGCCTCCTCGAATGGCTCGGCCGCCACAAACATCAAGTCTTCGTTCCACATGGGATTAATACTCTTGTTCATTGCGACACGTGTCCTCAGAGCCTGATTCCCTAAAATAGCCTTCACGAAAACCTCGGGGAAGCGGGTTTTATCGCTTGGAATCAAGTCTTGAGCCTCGATCACGTTCACTCGTAGGTACCAGAGTTTAGGCGAGAGGTACACCTTTGACCGGATGTTGGCGAGCCCGTCAGCCCCGCTAACGGTAGCGGCATCCGAGTGCCAAGCCTCCGGGAATGCCTCGTCAGCCTGAGTCCCTATCCAGACCGCAAGCATGAGCTCCCCTTTGGCCTTTTCGTTTTTTCTGTCCTCCAATCGGTACCATTGTGGGGCCAGGGGGCTGTCTGGTGGGACCCGCTTCGGGATCTCGTTTAGGTCGAATAGGACTCGACCAATGAAGTCATCCTTCACGAAGTCCTTGTCCTTGACGTTGACCTCAAGGATCGAGGACTGGAGACGGTCTTTTGAGAAAGCAAAGACTTGGTTCCACTCGGGGTTTGACCTTTTTTCGAAATGACGGGTTGTGCCCTTGTAGTTACCGAGACGGACCTCGACGTACGGGTCGCAACTGCCCGTTACGTCTTTCCCGGGCAGGTCCTTGGCCTTCACAACACGGACGTAGAGATACTGCATCTGCTCCACGAGGTCATATGTGCTCGTGAGCTTATCTCCGGTGATCTTGCCGCCACCAAGGTGGGGTTTGGTCTCCTTGAGGGAGAAATCCTCTTGCGGAGGCCTCTGCATTTTTTCTTAGTGTTCTTTTGCTTCTAAACCTGCAGATGTACAAGATGGGAAGAACTGATCAAGATTGATCTGGTTTCATTAAATTATTTCTGAGTTCTTAGAGACTTCCAATGGACAAAAATTGTGTTATCAGAGAAAACTTCCAATAGTTTATTGTACTTGCCTTTACTTGGGAGAATAAAGAGCCTGATTACGAAAAATCGAGTCAGCACGAAAACAGAATTAAGAGCTTCGGGTGTGTCTATCAATGTCTTACACCTGCCAGCTGAAATCACCCAATAATTAATCAGGAACAGAAGGGGGGAAAAAATCATCATCATCATATCATAAAATTTAGATAACTAGAAAATAAACTTGAGGTAAACATTGGTATACAAACTAAAGACTAAAGAGTGCATACTAATTTATTCGACCAGAACGGATAGAACCATAAATAAAATATACAACTTCACTAACTGATATAACTCATTTGGGCAACTGATACAGTATCAAAAAGATCAGAAGCAAAATCAAAATGAAAGTTGTACAATCAAATTTAACATACGAATTCGAATAGCACAAAATTATACGAAAATCATATTAAAAATTAAAATTCAGCAGGTTTCAATAGTTTGGACAAGCTTACAAGGTTCCATGAAAACTCACCTACCACATAGAACTGTATTCAGAATCCAAAAGAAAGATCAAAATCTTTCTAGCAATGTATATGTATAATATACAAAATAAAAAACCTTGTGAATAAGAATCTCTCAAGACCACATATTCAACTCAAATCTTCAGATCTGAGCACACAATGAGATCACAGTGAGCAGCTACGATCCACAACATACTCACATAACTAATTCATACATATTATAAAACAAAAAATCCCATAAAAAAAAAGAGCAATATGATGAATTACACAATGTAAAATTCACAAAAACCCCCAAAAAGATACAAACTTTAAAAAGCAAAGCGTACACAAAAAAAAAAAAAAAAAAAAAAAAA